TTGAGCCCAGGAGTTCGAGACCAGCCTGGGCAACATAGCAAAAACCCCATCGCTACAAAAAGAAAAAATAGATCTCAATCTACAACAGAATATTATTTCAGAATATTATTTGGCCGTAAAAGCGAATGGAGTACTAAGACATATGCAACATGGATGAACCTGAAAGACATAATGCTCAGTGAAAGATGGACACAAAAGGCCACATATTGTAAGAAATGTCCAGAGTATTCTTCCTTACCTAGATTCTGGAAAAAAAGAAGAGAAAAGAAATGTCCAGAACAGGCAAATTCATAGAGACAGAGAGTAAATTAGTGGTTGCAAGGAGGTGGGGTACAGGGGAATGAGGAGTAGCTGCAAATAGGCGCAGGTTTATTTCTGGGATGATGGAAATGTTCTGGAATTTGATAGTGATGGTGGGTTCACAACATTGTGAATATACTAAAACCCACAGAATTGTACACTTTGTTTGTTTGTTTGTTTGTTTATTGAGGCAGAGTCTCGCTGTGTTGCCCAGGCTGGAGTTCAGTGGCGTGATCTTGGCTCACAGCAACCCCCACCTCCCGGGTTCAAAAGATCCTCCTGCTTCAGCCTCCCGAGTAGCTGGGATTAAAGGCACTGGCCACCTTGTGTGGTTAATTTTTGCATTTTTAGTAGAGACAGGGTTTACCATGTTGGCTAGGCAGGTGTCAAACTCCTGACCTTAGATGATCCACCTACCTCGGCCTCCCAAAGTGCTGGGATTACAGGAGTGAGCCACCATGCCTGGCTGAATTGTATACTTTAAAACGTTGAATTTTATGTCAGTGCAAATAAAACATGAAGGGAAAAAAAGAATCCATACTAGGAAGACCTGAGTCTTCCCCACCCTCTCCATACAGCCTGGAGGCCTGGAGGATGCAGTGGCCAGTCTGCAGTGCCCCTCCCAGGGAGTTCAACCTCAGTAGTTGTTAGAGAGGCTGCCCTGGCAGGGATCTGGGAGCTGCATCGCCACTGCTGGTGGAGAAGGGAAAGAAGCAGTTGACACAACATCTTAAAACTTACCAAATGACAGGGCATACATGATCTCCCTGTAAACGCAAGTGTGCTTTTTAAATAAACATTTTCCCTGACTATAAAATAAACATTCTTAGAAAGAATGGAAGATATAGAAAAGCGTGAAAGTCACCTATTGTCTCACCACCTGGAGATTTTACTGTTCCTGGTTTGTTCACACCCTTCCAACAAGAGTGACCATCTTGGACCCCTCTAAATGTTTGATTAGGTGAACTAGCACCGACAGGGCTGGTGTCAGTCATGGGCTAGGTGCTAGCCACACAAAGGAGACAGGAAGAGCTGCCTCTGGCAGCCGCAGGCTTGAGACCTGTGTCTCCTGGTGTTCACACTGTTCCTGACTTTTCCCCCTGTTTAGACCCCGCTCATATACTCTGTACCATCTGATCCTTACTTTTTCTCTTTCTACACAGTATTTATATCCTTCAAATGCTCAGGGACTTGAACAACTGTTGTCAGGGTGATGATGGGAACAATCACTGGTCATGGGACCCCTGGGCCAGCAGCATAGTGGTATGCGTTGCGGGGAGAGGAGGATGTGTTCTGTGAATGGTGGCACTTTGGGGCATTCTCTTTTCTCCTAGCTCTGAGTTCTCAGACTATAAACTTATAGGCAATGCTTTTCCTGCATCTCTTGCCTCCTCCTGCAGGAGGCCTTTCCCCTCTCCTTAGACCTGACCCTCTCTTAAAGGACTCTGGCTCTGAAAGAAAAGCTGCCCACATTGGTCCTTCTGAGGGCTGCCCTGTTAGAGCCTCAGCCTTACTGCCACTTACTTACTGACCAAGCACTTATTGCACTTTGCTGGAGTACAAAGTCAGGCGTTTCTGCCCCATAGACAGTGCCTGCCGACCTAGAGTGGGAGAGGAGCCTGGCTGGTTCCACCCTGTGCATGAAAGAGGGGTCCCTTCCCCTGGGCATCAGTGACTGGGCAGGAGGAGAGGGGTACACCTTTGCCATGGTATAGCTTCCTGACCCAGGGCAGGAGGCGAAGACCTAGTGTGGCAAATCTCTGCCCTGAATAAAGCCCTCTATAATCCTACTCCACTTTATTCACTCAATCTCGCCTCCCACAGACCACGCACAACTCACACCTACACTCCCATTAGGCAGTCTTCACCAATTTTACATGGTACACACTCTCCATCAACTTCCCTCTGACTCAATTCTTTTCATCAAGCACATCATCAGTTACTGTAAGGACTGAAATAACCTAATAGGTTTTGCACAGTCATGGGAGCTGCCCTACAAGCCCTTCTTCAGTAACACTTTTTCCTTTTTGAAGTTATTTACACCTTTACTACTGAAACTGAAAGTGTATGCGGAGCAGCATCAGCATCACCTAGGTGCTTCTTAGAAATGCAGAATCTCAGGCCCATCCCAGACCCACCTAAGTGGAAACAGCATTTAAAAAACTAGATAGACTTTATTTTTTAGAGCTGCTTTAGATTCATCGAAAAATTGAGTGTAAAGTGCAGAGGATTTCCATATACTCCCTCCCCACGTATTCACAGCTTCCGCCACTGTCTACATCCTGCGCCACAGCAGTCCACTTGTTAAAATCAATGAACCTACATTAACACATCATTACCGCCCCAATCCAGAGTTCACGATAGGGATCACTCCTGGTATTGCATATTCTATGGATTTGGACAAATTTATAATGACTTACATCTATCATTACAGCATTATGCAAAATAGATTCACTTCTCTAAAAAATTCCCTGTGCTAGAGACTGCAATTTAGCAAAACCCCCAGGTTACGGGTATGTGTCAAATGTGAACAGAGCTGGGGTAGACCGCGCCACTACCCTGGGTAAAGCCCTTCCAGCCTCCTGAATAACATGCGGATTCGTGACTATAGCCCACAAGTGCTGCAGGGTCTGGTTTTGCTCACTGGGCCAGTCCCTCCTCTGCTCCTCCCATAGCTCACTGCCCTCCTCACTGGCAGGGGAAGAGAGCACTTTCTCAGGCAGTGCCTATGCCCTGCCTTCAAAGCACTTGGCTTTGTTTGTTGGCCAACAAACAAACACATTCATTTGAGTGGCTATTGGATTACTTTCCCTCTTCCCAATGATAGTAAATTTCACAAACGCCGGAGCCATGTCCCCAGGACCAAGAAAAGTCTCTTGCTTGTAGATGATGTTTGTTGAATTAATAAATGATTAAACAAAAGAATGAACACCTGTGCCAGCCTCATCCTTACCTTTGTGCCTTTGTCCAGGCTGTTGCCCTGACTAGAATTCTCTCTCCATCATCCATCTGCCTCTGTAAAGCCTGCCCTCCTTGCTGCAGCCCAGTCTGGTACCCCCTTTCCCAGATCTTGGGCTCCTACAATCAGGGCAAAGCATTTCATTGCTCTTTGCTTGTTTTACATGGGTTAGCTTTGCATTCCCCCAACTAACATATGCAGACCTCTTTGAGTGCAGGAATCCTAACCTCAACTTTATGGCCCACCTGGCACACAGTAGGTGGTTCATTGACTTAGTCACAGCAGCAGTAAAATCAGGATATAGCTGGAGAACAAGGTGCTTTCCTAAACATCTTTCTTTAGCTCAAAGATCTCTTTCCATTTAACTCTGACTCTAATTTTCCTGGTACAGTTTCTAAAGTTTGGGTTTTAATTTTTATTTTATGTCTTCTTTTACTTTTTTATCATTCTCCCTCTTTCTATTCTCTCTCCCTCCCCACCTCCCTTATTTCTGGGAAGCCTGTACAAATTTCCTTCTAAATATTTTAAACTCCTCTGTACTCCCCAGAAGACTAGTTTGGGAATGCTTCCCCAGCTCCCCAGAAGGAAATTGTAACTGTTGGAAATGTAATGTAACTGTCAAATATATACAAAATCTGAGGTGTAAATTGTGAAATGTAAGCCATGGTTCTCTTGGTTCTGAAAACAATGCAAAATAGCTCTGGAGAGAAAATTTTAAATGACTACTATTACAGTCAAGTAATCTGTGTGCCCCCATCTCCTCTTCCCTTCCCTCTACCTCTCTCTCACACCTCTGATATTCTAGCCAGTACTTTACGTGAGAAGTTTTTAAGACAAGGACCCTTAATAGTCGGGTCTTTGCAGACTGGCAAATCATGCTGGAGCCCAAACTTCTTGATTTGTGGGAAACCAGGAGGTATACTGCTCACTAGAAAACAGATCTTTTGTTTTCTGACTTAAAAAAAAAAAAAATCAGAACCATCCTGCCAGCAGGGACAAGCCTCACCCTTCTTGACAGTCCCAAAAGTTCAGCACTCTTAAGATCACCTGAGCAGGAACAAAAGCCTCTAGAAGTCAAATTATTACTTTCAGGACATATATGTAATACCTCTGTGGCAGATTAAAAACAACTAAAAATATAATTTTATGTTAAATCTGATACCACTTAAAGTCAGATGCCAATGTTGAAAAAAGATCTCAGCATCCAAAACAGAACAAATAAGATTAATGTATTAAGAGGAACTTAAGAAGGTTAAGAAGATTAACGTCATTAAGAGGAATTGTCCTCAACTACTCTCCCGCCTTCAAATTGGAAAGAAGATCACCATTGTTCAAATTTAGAAGCAGGACACTTTCACTGAGCTGTATCATGAAAATATAGTTTGGGAATGGACTCTGAGGCTGGTATTAGCACATCACAAAATGTACATGAGCATCTAATACTCATCTAATGAAAGAGACCATTATGAATTGGCTCTATGGTTTTGTTAAAATAACACCATCCCTTCCATGCTTCCTTGTACATTCTTGAGTTAACTTGGTTACTAACTTGCTGTGTGATGATAGGAATGTCCTTTAACCTCTTTGAACCACAGTCTTCTCATCTTTAAAATGTTCTGAAAACACCCTGAAAGTTCCTTCCAGCTGATAGGATAATAGAAGGGAGCAGCTCAGAGGACCCCACCTCCTTTCTCTTAACCCTGTAGCAGTTGACTCCGTTAAGTTCCTGAAAGTTGCTTACCTGAACAGAAATGAGAAAGACTAGCCAGCACCAAGAGCTGAAAGAACTTGAGGTATGGACACTTGGATGGTGATATTCCCTGCCTCCATGTGTGGCCCATAGCTTCAGATGCTTAGGGTCAAAAGTGAAAGCCAACAATTTGGAGCCAAGTAAGACCAGGGCACTTCCCAGGCACAAAACAGGCAGGGTGGTGACAATCCAATTGCCGGCCTAGAGGATTCTCCAGTGATGTTAACAAAACACACAGAGATTGGAGGGTGTTCCTGGGTCTCCAAAAGTTGTGGATTTAGTTTCACAACCTGAAAAAGGAACAAATAAAAGTCATCCAGGAAGGAAGGTGTGCCTACTATGAGTTGTAAAACTCCAGAGTTGCCTGCTAAAATTAGTTAGAGAGTTTAACCTAAGCAACCTCTAAAGCAGGGCGTGACCCTGAGGGAAAGAAAGTGGAAATTCTGTGAGGGGACCAGTTCCAAGAACCAATCACAGCCCTTCCATGTAAAGGCTTTCTACTTAATAGGTGGGATTAAGATTTGGTTAGAAACACAGAGAGCTCTAAGGACCCTCCATATCTGCTAGCCAGCCTCCAAAAGTTCAAATTCTCTTCTGAACATACCAAGAAACACAGAGCAGACAGTAAGGGTGTATCTTGTCCAAGGCAGGACCTAAGTTATGAAATAACTTCTTTCTTGACATATTAACATAAGAAAACAAGTATCTCAATTCTTTAAACCCGCTGCTCAAATAGCATATCATAAAGGGGTATGAGATCTCAATAACCAGAAAAGTCTATCCGTAAAAAGGGAGGGAAAAAAGACACTGCACACGTTACTTATTAAAATTATGTACTCCAGGGCCAGGCGTGGTGGCTCATGCCTGTAATCCCAGCACTTTGGGAGGCTGAGGTGGGCGGATCACTTGAGGTCAGGAGTTCCAGACCAGCCTGGCTAATGTGGCAAAACCCCATTTCTACCAAAAATACAAAAATTAGCCAGGTGCGGTGGTGGGTGCCTGTAATCCCAGCCACTTGGGAGGCTGAGGCACGAGAATTGCTTGAACCCAGGAGGTGGAGGCTACAGTGAGCCAAGATTGCACTACTGCACTCCAGCCTGGGTGACAGAGAGAAAAAAAATTATGTGCTCTCATGTGAGACGGCTAGGGTTTAATTTTTCCAGTAAACACGTCAAAATTGAGAAATGAAAATGAACACTGTGCTCCCCCAGCCCCGTGCTGCTCAGAGAATACTGGAGTGTCCTCTTTGGAGACCACGCTGAAGCTAGACTTCGTCACGCCATATTGTTTTGTTAGCCATCATGCATTTTAGGCAGAATTAGCTGAAAGAGACTTATTCACCAGAATTTGTTTTTCTTAAGATAGAATCTTGCTCTGTCGCACAGGCTGGAGTGCAGTGGTGTGACCATAGCTCACCACAGTCTCAACCTCCCGAGCTCAAGCGATTTTCCGACTTTCACTAGAATTTTACTGGCTTGAGAAATTCAAATACAGCCCACAAAAATAATATTTGCTAGCATCTAGGACATTTTAAAATAAAGGGCCACAATTCTGACTATGATGCTCCAAATGTGTTGGGAAGCCACAGCCTCCTGTGGGAATGAGACCCTGAAGTTTCCTTTGAGGGAAAGCATGGATCCAGGAGGTGGTAGTGGCGGTGTGTTTGTTTAAAAAGCAGTGAGGTTGCTGGTAACTAGTTCTACCAAGCTATCCCACAGTAAGATAATAGTAAATGTACTTACTTGCTGAAGAAAAATTCCACTTTTTCTTTAACTCCTTTGATTTCAGATGAGACTCCACTTCTGAGATGTTCTCTTCTTATAGTCTATAAAGCAATGACAAGTCGCTCCGTTTTCTTCAGGAGGGTTGTCTATCAGAGAGGTGGCATTTCCCCTTCTAGCCTGCAGTTGCTCGACAGAAAATTTGAATTGACTCAGAAGTACTTTGTTAGCACCAGCAGTTTTATTGGACAGCAGAGGAAGCTCCCTCTGCTGCTGTCTTCTCCCAGTTGCTTTTGCAGAGGCTGTGTCTGGGGAAAATCACACAGCAGCCTCCCTCACCACCGTGCACAGACTAACAAACACAAAACACCAAGAGCACCACGCGGCATAGGGGAAGTGAAGAATGATACTCAAGAAGAGGGAGGGGCATCCCGCTAGCCTTGCTGTGTGATGGAAGGTGAACTTCATGGGCTGGCTGTTTCTGTGCTGGTCTCAAGTTTTGTTTTAGCACCCAGAGTTACTCCTGAGTACCTGCAGGAATAAGCTGTCAACCTCATATGTAGGGGACACTTCTGGGAGAGTGCTCAGCTCACAAGATCACCCTCAACTGTACTCCCACCTCTGCATCCCACCATCTTCAGAGTGGGCTCTTGCCAGCGATGCTGGACAGTGAATTCTGGTCACCCTAGCCACAGTTGAGTGCATCTCAGGTGGGGTGAGGAAGACTTTAGTCATGCCCATCACTCCCATTTCCAACTAGCTTGCCACCCACCCCTGTGTGCCCCTTTGCAGGATTCTGGAGCCCCTGTGAGTGAGCAGCTGACCCATGCTGGACCAAGATACTTGTTTGCACAGGTGGAACCTGATAGCACCTTGCATGGGCCTGCAGGATCCACACTTTGATTCCATTCTGTCCTCACCCAGGGCTTCTCTGCTGTCTTGGCATTCTTTGAAAGTTCACTCAAGCATCTGCAATCCAGAAATACAGGGAAGTCGATGCCCATGGAGCTGCTCTTGACCAAGAGGGTTGGAAGCTGGTGGATAACTGCTTCCTCCTTTGCCTCTCAGGTGAACAGTTCTGACAGACATTGCACGAGGCTCCCCAGAAAGTCCCTGTGGGATCAAGTACCAGTGGCCCCTAACAGTGGTCACCTCTGTGAGGCTTCCTTGTACTGGCTGTGCCTCCTTCCCAGGCCTGCATTGCTGGACCCATGTTTCCAAATAAATTACTTCACTCAAGCCTTTTCTCCAGCTTGGCTTTCTGGAGAATGCAGGCTAAGACAGCAGGGATATTCAGTGTAGTGGAGATACAATAGTTTTTTTTCTAAATTAAACATGTAGAATGAAGAGTACATTTAGAGAGAAATAAGAAAATGATAGTAGACATGGTATATGAACGTGACAAACATTGTGAATATGGTATAGAAGTGTCTGAATATTAACTTAAGGCCATTAGAAAACAAACTTTCCTAGCAAAAATAGCAATTGGAGCTGCTAGCCATCCTATATTTTTCAGTGTTACTGAAGACACTGAGATCCCTTTAAATAAAAAGATGACTAGGAAGGATGAAAGCATGAGGCTTCTGGGTGTCCATTGGGTTGGGAGAGTGAAAATCATCCTAAAGAAAGAGAGAGGAAGAATACAGGCGTTTTCCACTTCTAAATAGGTCCACTTCTAAAGCATCACTACTACTGGCACCCCACAATGCATGCACTTCCCTGCCACAAGATGCATTCACTTGGGCTGAGGCAAGCTCTTCAAACTGAAATACTCGTATCCCTGAGAACAGTTGGGGATTTTCACAGGGTATGTGGGCACTGATAGTTTTTAAGAGAATCAATTCCTAGGTTTTCAGTCTTGTTATGTATTCTTTCCTAAAACTTAACTTGCAGTGAGAAGGATCCTGGCCTTCACCTCATGTAAAAAGAAAGGCTTACCTCTCACCCAACCTGAATCTTACTGTGGTACAACATTCTAGAAAGTAAAAAAAAACTTCAGAGTGTCAAATAAAGGGACCACTTGAAATACTGGTGCTTTTATCAATTTGGCCTCCTTAAATCAAGACAATATAAGCCCAAGATCAGGCCAATGTGTCCTTCCTATCTTGTCTATATTACTATTAAGTAGAAACATGGCATTAGAAATACATGTATTGCCGGGCATGGTGGCTGACGCCTGTAATCCCAGCACTTTGGGAAGCAGAGGCAGGTGGATCCCCTGAGGTCAGGAGTTCAAGACCAGCCTGGACAACATGGCAAAACCCCGTCTCTACTAAAAATACAAAAATTAGCCAGGTGTGGTGGCAGGAGCCTGTAATCCCAGCTACTCAGGAGGCTGAAGCAAGAGAATCACTTGAACCTAGGAGGCGGAAGATGCAGTGAGCCAAGATTGTGCCATTGCACTCCAGCCTGGGCGACAGAGTGAGACTCTGTCAAAAAGAAAAACAAAAAACAAACAAACAAACAACAACAACAAACAAACCAGAAACAAAAAAACAAAACAAAACAAAACCAAAAGAAATAGATGTATTGTAGTGGGGTGGCAGGAATGACGGCAGCTTTTATTTAATAAACTTGCGTCTTCTACTTCCCACCTATCATCAAGATGCCAGCCAGGCACAGTCTACTTCCTACCTATCATCAAAGATGCCAGCCGGGCACAGTGGCTCACGCCTGTAATCCCAGCACTCTGGGAGGCTGAGGTGGGTGGATCACAAGGTCAGGAGTTCAAGACCAACCTGGCCAATGTGGTGAAACCCTGTCTCTACTAAAAATACAAAAATTAGCCAGGCATGATGGCTGGCACCTGTAGTCCCAGCTACTCGGGAGGCTGAGGCAGGAGAATCACTTGAACCTGGGAGTCAGGGGTTGCAGTGAGCTGAGATAGCACCACTACAATCCAGCCTGAGTTTTTTGAGACTCTGTCTCAAAAAAAAAAAAAAAAAAAAAAAAAAAAAGACACCATTCTTCCTATACCAGCCAGAAAGAGAGCAAAGTGTGTGGGTGAGAAATACTGACTGCAGCGGCGGCTTCCTTCATCTCAGCAACGAGTTTTTGGCAGGGCTTAGTGGATACTACCCTATTCACCTTAGATTTGGAATACTCAAGCTTTGGAAATCATGCAGGCAGAACTTGCTATGAAAGGACTCCACTGCACTATCACCTTCTGTACTGGCAGAAGGGGCCTGGTGAACACCCTTCTTCACCTGTGTCTTGTTCTGGTCTCAGATGCATATTTTGAATAATTGCAAGGAATATGGACGTGACAATTTCCGCCTTACCTCTGGTAGATCAACATTGAATTTTCAAGTAAAGGGAACACAGATTAGAAGTAAGTTCATGCTTTCTATTTTCTTGAACATTTACTCAGATCAAATAAATGTTTTCACTGATTTTTGCCACTTCTACTTGATACATTATTACAATACACTGGAAGTGATATTTTTTCCAGGTATTTGAAGTAATAGAAAGTTATAGATGTCAACTTAAAATGAGCAAAGAAATACAGAGTTTTAGAAATTTATTTTCTTTTTTTTTTTAGATGGAGTCTTGCTCTGCCGCCCAGGCTGGAGTGCAGTGGTGCAATCTTGGCTCACTGCAACCTCTGCCTTCTAGGTTCAAGCAATTCTTCTGCCTCAGCCTCCCGAGTAGTTGGGACTGCGGGCGTGTGCCACCATGCCAGGCTACATTTCTGTATTTTTAGTAGAGATAGGGTTTCACCATTTTGGCCAGGCTGGTCTCAAACTCCTGACTTTGTGATCAGTCCGCCTCGGCCTCCCAAAGTGCTGAGATTACAGGCGTGAGCCACTGCGCCCAGCCGAGTTTTAGAAATTTCATGAGGGACTATATGAATAAAAATTTTGACGATCACAGACACCCTCAAATTTTAAGAATCCCAGTGAAATCCTAACCTGCCTTGGTGAAACACCCATTAAACACCTTTGCCATTAGCATCTTGATGTGACTTAATCAAAGAGACTGGAAGAAAGGAACACCAGGCAGGTACTTTACAGAGTTTCCTCAATCCTGATTGTAAAATTCAGAAGGCTCCTCTTCCAAGATTATGTACTAATGGGATGCGTTTAATTCCTCTTCCTCCTTCAATGGGTCTAGGAGCATGACCTGTGAACCACAGATTTCTAAGGTGCATTTCAGGACACTGGAGGTGGTGATGGATGAAGAAGGGCAAAGGAAGCTGACCCTGAACACCTATATTACTGGAAAACAAAACAAAACAAAACCAAGTAAAAGATCTAAAAGGAGGCTGGGCGCAGTGGCTCATGTCTGTAATCCCAGCACTTTGGGAGGCTGAGGCGGGCGGATCACTTGAGGCCAGGAGTTCGAGGCCAGCTGGCCAATAAGGTGAAACCCCATCTCTACAAAAATAAATAAATAAATAAACAAATAAATAAATAAATAAATAAAATTAGCTGGGCATGGTGGTTCACGTCTGTAATCCCAGCTACTCGGAAGGCTGAGACATGAGACTTGCTTGAACTTGGGAGGTGGAGGTTGCAGTGAGCTAAGGTTGCGCCATTGCACTCCAGCCTGGGTGACAGAGCAAGAGTCTGTTTCAAAAACGAAACAAAACAAAAATCACAAACACAAAAACACTTTAAATGAGTTTGTTCTGAGGAGCAGACCCAGGGTTGGAGAAGAATAGAGCAGGAATTATTGCTCCTCAGTGTAAATTTGTCACCGCCACTTATTTTTTTAATCCATCCTTGGCTTTACTGTAATAAAAGTGAAAGAAATTATTTAAAAAATTTTTATGTGAAAAATTTAAAGGATAAATTTATGAAAGTATATTTTTGTAATTCTAGGGTGAGCAAGCCACAAAACTTGGAAGCCATGAAAAAAGAAAAGATACACAGATTTGAGTTCATAAAAATTAAAAATATGTGTACAATGAAAGACACCATAAATGAAATGAAAACACAGTCACAGACTGTAGAGGACCCAGCAGGAAGAGATGAGGAGAGGGAGATGCAGCTTTGTGATTCAGGAAGCACACGTGGTGCAGAGGTTGTTGTGACACTGTAGGGGAAGCCTGGCCCTTTGCTTTACCCCTGAGCAGGATGATCTCTGTGGAAACGAAGATTCCATCTTTCCACTCTTGACCTCAGAGCCACTTCACCTCCTCATGCTGATAAAGCCGGCCTGAGCTCAAACTTCCTACCCTTCCTTCCAGCATCCACAGGGAAGGCTGGGCTGGCTCCAGGCAGTGGCCTCAGAATTACTGTAAGTGCTGC